TTACTCAAGTAACCTGCAGCTGCATATGAGGTTAAGCCAACAAGTAGCGACTGTGACTGCATCCACGAAAATTTTTCCTTCATCCGATCACTTCTTATTACCTCGAGAATTTTCCGGTCCAAATAATTCAGCGCTAACAAATCCCCTGGAGAACGAACTGCGGGGCTGCGTTACTCCCGCCAACAGGCGCTCGTCCCACTGCAATAAGGTGTTGTTCGCAGTTACCACACCAGTTTGGAGAAGTGTCGTACGTAGTGTTTACATGTCATAAGACAGAACTTTCTTGATTGTAGCAGCTGTACCTTCTTTTGAAGAGTCGTTTTGTAAAGCAGAAACAATTTTCTTTTCTGCCATTGTTATGATTAGCTCAATGAGTAGATTGATGCCATCTTAATAAGGAATATATGTCTGCTAAAGTGGTATAAACAGTTTACTAATATCATACACTCTTATATAACTATATAACTATGCTTCTAAGATAAACGAGCAATATTCCTAGGGTGCTTTTATATCGAGTTAGGAGTTAAGAAGTGTTCGCTCACGTGCAAGGGGCCAGAGTGAAAATGCAGGTCTGGCAACTGGGAACCGATGCCAGGTACGTCTCTGACTAGTTTGTCAAAATGCTATCCGAAGAACAATATTCTGCATACTGGATGACCCTGGTTAAACTGCGCGCCTTTGACTGGAAGAACATTGCTGAAAACAAGACTTTGAAGGAAGAAACATTCCGTCACACCATGAAAGCTATTAAGGCAATTTGTCACCTACGTTTGTTTGTACAAGGCTGCTGAAAGAGAAGATGTTGCAGCCGTTGATCTATTCCGTCATGATGGTTCTGTGGCTTGGGAATGGTTGAAGTTAGTCTACCACAAGCTGACCAAGTCTGCTTGTAACAAAGGCACCATCCAGGTTTCTGTTCTAAACAATGAAACTGTCGTTATCAATGGTAAACCGTTCTCAAGAGCTTATATCCAACTGTTTATTAAAAATGTTGTTGACAAGTTTTGAGCCAATCTGGAATTGTTGAAGAAGTATTACAAGAATGTTCGTTCTCTGACGAATCAAGTTTATCTAGAGATATGTGCTTACGTTCTGGGATCACGTATTCTGATTTCAAGCATTAAACAACTGCACATATTTATATTTTTATAAACTTTTAGTCATTATTTATTTATCAATTAGATATCGCTTTTTTTTTTTTTTTTTTTTTTTNTTTTTTTTTTTTTTTTGATATTACGTTACGAAGAACATATTTAAATCTCAAGTTTTGTTGTAGTTGTAGGCAAAGAAAATCATTTTTCTGATAGTATTGCCGAGTGAGACTATGACCTCATTGACTTATTTGGGGGTTTCCGGCTGTTATCATCACTTTATCACTGAAGGTTTTGAAGACAGACATTATTACCGATCATCCACTGCCATTGAATCTTTCTGGCATCCCATGAAACTTATCGCTATGGCACTTTGGGAAACAAGTGATTACGAATAAAAATGTTCCTCATCGCTTGGTCTCGAGCAACAACAACAACAAAAAAAGAATAATTTCCAAATATGGATGCCTGTTACTATATTTGACAATAATGTCTCTTGTCGAAATTATTGCAGAAGTTATTAAGAAGGAAGCTATCGAGATCTGTACCGACACACAAAAAAAAAAGTGAACTTATTATCTCTTCTTGAGAATGGTTTCCCATTTCTATCATTTTAGAAACAGCTGTGATAGTTTCTAGCACGCATACACGCATGTTGTTCTATTTCAACCATCTAATGACGGAGTATTATCTCGCAACTGTGATCTGTAGTATCGTTTCAGATCCACGACTGAAATTTTGAAGCAGAGCGGCAATCTCTGACTCTCAATTATATCATTATTTTCTCGATATGCAACCGCTGTGCATTGCTACTAAATTTTTTATGTATAATAATATACATATACAAGGTTCATTTCTAGCATGCTTCTGAAATGATTAGTTGATATTATTATTCATGTTTACCTCGCAAGCTGTAATGATATATATTTGTGGATACTAATATGTCCTCAAAAATAAAAGTAAATAAAATTAAATAGAATTGATGAAAATGGCAGGATTACAGAATAATCATGCTACGTTCACTTAATTAGCCAAATACTCCCTTATTCTCAAACTGTTATTTACCATAGTGGTCAGTTCAGAAAACATATTCATAGAGGAACCCTTACACGTAAATGAAAACTTGCCAAACCCGTTTGAACAAAAGGCTTCGTACGATGAACTTCTTTTGTGTACCTTTTCTAGTCTTAAATATTACCGAAGGCCCCAAGGTGAAACAACCTACGTTGGAGGAGATAGCACAACAACTCTGGTCAAACATGAGGATAAATAGTACAATATATGGGGTAGTGCCTTTGATAGCAGTGCGAGATGAGGAATCGTATACAAAAACGATATTCATAGGAACTTAATCTGCTCTGCTACAAGTTGCAGTTCTTAAACGAGGATTTACTCTGTTAGTTAATATAATTCCAGACGACAGATATAAGGTGTTCTTATCAGAGTAAGAATCGTTACTATAAGTGGTAAAAATGGGTAAGCTAGACACGGAAGTGAGATTAGTGTAATTTCCGTTCGAAGTGAAAGTAGTGTAAGGATAATCTGTGCTGGAAACAATACTTGATACTGGTGATTCTGTCTTTACCAAAATGTCGTAATTACTGATACTTCTGTTTCTCAAGGAACTTTCTGAAACAATTCCATTGTATCTAGAGCAACTGATAAAGAAATCAGATATACCGGCTAGATTAGATACTATACTAGGGTCAAATGTGTTTTCTTTCGCGGGTCCAGTTACTATAATACTTTCTGATAAACCTAATTATGAATTATATGGATTACTTGGCGATGATATTAGAACTTTAGAAACTGAAGTTTCTACTACAGATTCATTCGACCAGCTGATAGAAGTCAACAAACTCAGAGGAACTTCCACAGCAGTTGCATCCTCGTACGAAGAAAATCGAATGGTTGATGAATTGCACTCTTCGCGAGCTGTTCCATTACTTACGAAACTTTGATATTATCTACCGGAATTTGGTAAACTAAGAACAGAATATGACCCAATTGACAGTGGAAAGATGACTGTAGCAATATCACTAAAGATCATAGTTCTCAACAATATATATGTGGGTTGATGGGTTTTGCAAGAGTTTGCCAAGAGTATTTACTTCCCAAAAATGAAATAATTGATTATACAGGTCCAGCTCCAATATCTTTGTATATATATATATGTGGGATCTGCTGTGAAAGGATGTTTTTTTACTTTCATTTCCCACTCGATAGTTTGTCATTCAGGCACAACTTGATTCTAAATTTCCAACTTTTGAAAAGTTTTCATTAATTCCATGGAAGTGGTGGTTTCTTAAAATACAAAACCTCAAGAATTGATGCATGGTGTACTTTCGCGTGCCGATGCTGTATTCTCTTCTCTAACAGAAACAAATTGACTGATAAAAATGTCAGTTCTGCGGGGTCTTTCTGTAGTTGAAAAATGGCTTGACAGGTGAGAGCGGCTATGCGGATTGTCGAGGGTTTTGTACTCTTGCATCACGTAAGAAGCACATCGAGAAATTTCCGGTTTTCGTTTATGCCGAAACTAAAATCAAAATGAGAAGATGTTGTAACCAGTAAAATTGTGTGTGATATTTCTAGGTTATAAGTAACGGCGAGCTCCATTTCTGAATTGGTTCCACGGCTATACTAACTAGTTAAGTCAAAGTTGAGCATATTTTCCATTGCTGGCAATGTGTTTATAATACAACCATCTCTTGTGTTATTGAGTAGCAACAAAGAATACGCCAGATAAGGTAGTTCATGATTGGTTATTTCAAACGGCTGCTTGATAAAATTCTTTGTTCAATGCAATGAAAAATTTTCTTCTTTTTAAAGAAGTATTAATATGATAGAATTATTTTTATTAAATTACAAAGTTGGTTCTCTCAAAAGTGTCTCAACTAAATCCTATCATGGAGAGGATAAATTAACCAATTCGTGGAAAAGAAGCAGCCATCGTAAGTTCTTTGATTACTAGTAGCAATATTGATGATGTTATAAAAGATACGAAGAATGCAAAAAAACCGATCAAAGAAAGGTTGGATAAAAGTATTCTGTATGGAGGTTTGTATGATTCTTCAAGGTTCAAAACTCTCCTTGAGCAAATTTTTGATAATCTCATTAAATTAGCTGAAGAGGTTGATGAAAATAGTATTTTGGAAACTGCTAGAAAATAATTAAATGAAATATCAAAACAGAGGTATATTGCAATGAAAAATTATTATAATTTACATGATTATTCTGAATACTTAATTGCAGATGATGAAAACTACATGTTTAGAAAACCCGGAGATGATAATAGAGAGGCTGACCCCCAAAAAGTTAATCAAGTAAACAAAAAATTAGGACTGTGATATGGGAAACCATGAATTGATGGTGCTCATTATAAAATAGTTGTTGGTGGGCGTACGATTTCTAAAACACATTCCTACTGAGACATTTGTAAAAATATAAATAGCTATTTAAAATCTACAAGGTTTGTATATTTTTATAAGAAAATTGAATATATACATTGTGCCGTTTTGTCCTTATTTAATGTTTAACAGTTAATGTAATATCCAATCAAACAATTAGAATTAAAGTGTGCGAGTAAAATTCCAACATATGTCGATTGTGACATTATGATTGAATGATCGAATTCCTCTATTTATGGCATGGTTCAGTGACAATAGATAACCGTGTAAACCATTTGAAGTATTCTATTTATACATTAGTAGTCAACACTCAACCATCTTTTGTAGCGTATGGTAGGTAACCATATTTTACACACTTGAACTCCATCAAATATAACTAAATAAACAGAATGTTTATCGGGAATTCAAAACGCAAATAGTTTCTTATGCTACAAAAATTAAACTCTGAAAATAAACTTAGTATGCCTGATAAAGTATTTACGGAAGCTTAGTCACACTCTCACATATATAATTCCTCCATCCTTTCATTCTGGTGAATCATTCTCTCAATATATTGACTCTTTACATATCCAATACCTGTAATATCTGCCTTATCGTTTGGTCCTCCAAATCCATCACCCAAAGTGTTCCACTCAAGTGATTCTGTTCTAATAGAGTGATACCTTCTCAGGTGCTCTGGTGCAAACTGTTTAAGACAGAAATCAGTTGTCGTATATCCCAGTAACTCAGAAGAGTCATTCCCGTACAATGGGGCATCAATTCTAACTCGACCGTCTCGTTTTATGAACTCTCTTACCTCAAGTTTTTCTTTCAATTGACCAAGCATATCTTTTCTTTGATATGTGTAAAGTAACCTCCAAAGATAAGTATCAATACACTGGAAATTACAGGCAACAAACACGTCTTTCCAATCGTTCAACCCAGCCACGCAGCCAATCGAGTACTTGTAGTCCGGGGCAATTTCCAGTAGCTTCAAGCAAGTCTCCTTCTTGGGAATATTTGGATACCACAGACAGGCAGGAATATATTCCTTGATCAAATCGTCCTCGAGGTAGTTGCTCATGACAAATCTGGCTGAAATGGCCCTGTAGATCCAGTGGTTCAGTTCCAAGTCCGAGTGCCTCAACTGCCACGCAAAATGGAAACTGAAACGTACACCTCTCACAATGTAATATGTCAAGTCATGAAGCCGACCCAATTTCATTTTTTCTTCACAATATTTATCTTCTTCTAAGAGTTCGTCCTCAAGGCAGTATTCATCAAAATATTTGGTAACAAAATCATCCTTGTTGAAATTAACGACAAGGTTATCGAAGTCGTAGTTGTATGCAGCATAACAGGCTCTATAGTATCTATCTTCGATCTTATTAAGAATTTCGAGGTACATTACATTACGTTATCGTTTTACTGTTTCTCATTTACTGTTTACAGTTTCTTAAAGAAAAGTTGTTAAAGCTTACACATTTTTTTATAGCATTGAAGTTTGTTTGCGATGATAAAATTTTTATGCGCTGTGTACATAGCACATATTTTGTGGATTAATTTAAAACCGAACAAGCAAAACTATTTTCGGCTCTAGTATTGTGGAGGCCTTACTTATTAGTAGGAAGGTATGCTAATATATTTTTTGAGTTGTTTATTATATATACAGAAAAATCTATATCGGTATCAGAGTCGTTTTAGGCCATTCTGTACGTTTTGATCATCTTACTCTGCTTTCTATTAACCTTTTGTTTTTCTATTCCATAACTAACTTTGTTATCATTAATGACGGATTGTATCATGCGAACGGGAATTCTCTCCATCCATGCAGCATATTTGCGGTTAAAAATAACAATGAAATGGCAACTATTGAAGGAAAGAAGTAACATTAGCCATAAAGAAGAAAGTCTACTAAAGATTATATATAATGGGTGGTGAGATACTAAAGAGAAAATGGAATAAGTACTTTGCGTATACGGGAGATGTGGCTAATTACAACATTGAGTATGAAGACTTCGAGTATGCTAAACATGGTGCACTAGTAAGTGCGTCCTTTGCCACAATGGTGTTGAAGAATGGCAAGAAGTTCCCAAAGTCCGTGTGCAAGTCTGCAGTTTCGAATATGCTAATTAACGGTGTTGTGAATAAGTACTTCATTGAAGAGTATAAACCATTCTGGTTGTTTAGCTATTCAATTTTAAACATTCCTCAAAAAAATTTTGGATCATCATTACAAAATTTTTCCTATCTTGAATACCCAATGTTATTAGCATCTTGTTTAAGGGATGATAGTTCATACAAGAAAATCATGCGAACAGGACAGTGTGACTTTGATGTTGCCAGATTTGCTCTTTACCTTGGAAGAATGGACATTTTTGACGACCAATTAAAAGCTGCAAAAAAGAGAGGAAATTTTTTGAAACACTTGGATTTTGAGAAAGAGGAAGTAATAATGTCGGATTTTCCTTTAGTTCCCATCGAGGATATTTACGAACCGTTTGGAGACCATCACCCATTATTGAAGTATGAAGAATTAAGCGTAACAGATATGTTGAATTCCGAACAAGAAAGAGGAAGTGCTTAATGTTGAGTAGGGTAGGTAAATAGACTCACAGATAGTACTAAAATAGACAATGGCATAACTCAATCTCTTATTATTAAATCTATTCTAAGTATTGTTATGTAAACATTGTTGACGCAGTGTGGAGCGTGACACGAAACGGCAACCTCTGAAATTTTCTATTTGGTTAATTACAATACTTATTGTCGGAAAAAATAAGGTAACTCCTGGATACGTTGGGCCGTGCAGTAGTCTGACGTATCCAGATTAAAGCATTTGACGAGTGTTTTTTTTCACTCGACGGTGATTTCGTGCATGACTACTTTGCACTTCTGTCAGAGGGAGTTCTTAGTGTTTGATAATAACAAATTCGTCGTTTTCCCTCGTCGAATTGCATTTCGGGCATGGTTATGTCCGCAATTAAAGGATGAGGGGCACACAAAGTTAAGAAAAACAAGTAGTACTTAAGAGGCTACTAAGACGTTGTATACTATTGTTGTCGCAGTAGAAATGTAGGTTGGGAGTTGGTGGCGTTTTGGTTGTGTTACGGAAGCTCTAGCCGTGGCACCACTTTAATTGTTGGTCTTACTTGACTTATGTAACATACAAGAAGTGGGTGCTGTGATTCCCGTTTTATACAACATTGGGTTTCTAGATGTTCAGAACATGGTAAGACGGCAATTGGCTGTGACAGAGTGTGAAGTGTGCAGCATTGCCAGCTGGGTTCAGGAATTATGGAGCCTCTG